TCAATCATAATCTACCTTTTCCATCTTATTTATTTTCTAAATCTTTTTTTTTCTATTTTAATTTCCTTTGGCAGCAACAACAACTGCTGAGGCCTTCTCTTCTTAAACCAGAGGTATCGATTTTCACTTTCTTTTCAACCTCACTAAATCTTCACAATACTTTTACGTGATGTGAATAATTTTATGTCCACCTCACAGGGAGAGAAAATGCGTTGACTGCAAATGCAGCACAGTTTTACAAGCAAGATAGAAGTTATCTTCATTAAAATAAATAAATAAAAATCACCTCCATACTGTTTTATGGTGGCTCAGATTTCAAATGCTTACATTTATTATCTGGAAATTAGATAAAAAAAGTTTTTTTTTTTTCTTGTTAAAAATAGGTGATTATTGGAGGAAGCAATTTGTGAACCTAACTAGTAGCTGATTGTCTTAGTGTATTCATCATTAGTGAATTCATCATGGATTCTCAGGATCAGACTTACACAATGCGTTTTAAATTGCCTATTACATTTTTTTCTGTAATGTGAAAAAATTTTCCAAATTATATACCATAATAAATGAAATCATTTTCCATTATTATGTTTATGTACTGTCAGAATTAAAAATAAAATTAAGTACTACTAGTCTTAAATGTATATTTCCTATGAAATAAAATTAGATTCTTTACAAGCTCCGTTTAGACCAGTTTGCTTCTTTTTTTAAAGAACAGGATCCTACCTTTGCTAAAGGGAGTCATTTCTTGATTAGAATTTACTCTTCCCAATCTCAAGTGGCAAGAATATTTAAGTTTTATAAGGCTTTTAACAAAATCTGAAGACCACTTAACCATAAAAACAGAGTTAAAACCAAATACCAGGTACTAGGTAACAGATTTTGTCAACATATACATCCTGCTGAACATCAATTTTATCTTCTAAACTAATCTTTATAATAACATCTAATATATCAGCAATTGGACTATAGCTGGAAAAATTCAGTGTTACTCGTATTTTTTTTTTGCATTGGTATAACTGATAATACAATTTCAGTAATTTTATTTTATTGTGAACAGCAGCAAAAACGAATTTTAAAAATAATAATGCATTCGATCTATGTATAAAATCAATTTTTAGTAAATTATTTTGAATGATTATCTCAAATTTAGATTTTATCAAATAAAGAAATAATGAGTAAAACAGGTACAGCAAAGAGCCAGCATTGTATTGTTTGGTCATTCAGGGATCTGCCTGGTCTCTGTCTTCCTGTATTTCTGTTTTTGAGGGGATATTGTTCTGATTGTGTCTAATGGGTGATCAAACATATGTGAGCACACTTACGGTTTTTTCCTGTTTGTTTTGCTGGTTTGTGTACCTCCTCAGTCAACAGAGAACTACACTGATTCATTAAATCCAGGCCATTTTGCTGAATTTCCGGTTCCTATACTGTATTATCTATCATTTTACTTTACTACTTTTAACATAATTTATACTGAATATATGTTGTAGCTAGCAAGAGTTGAGCTTTATTTTCCTTTTATAAAAATGAGAGACAGACCTTTCTATATTATTAGCAAAAGTTACTGAAATTTCACCTTGAAACTATTTGAGTCTTTCCTACACTTCCACATACGTTGTGTTCAACATACACTGGTCATATACTATGAAAGTATTAGTTCTGATACGTGTTTAGTAATTTAAAATTATATCTTTATATTGCGTGTTGGTAATTCAAATGCTAACTATTTGGAAACAGATGTTATTTCATGTGTTTAGTTTGAATATCTTAAATGTAGACTAATTTTGTTTTAGTTTGAATACCCTGAATATAGACTAACTTTTAGTTTCTTGTCTTTCATTTTTATTTTGTGCACTACTGGTGATTGAAGTCAGAAATTCTCAAGTTATATTTTATTTGCATGATTATTTGTTTATTTATTGAAGGGTCTCTCCAAGACTGTAAGACTTGGCTAGAACAGCCTTGAACTTGAGATCCTGCTGCCTTAGTTTTGTGAGTGCTGTGATTACAGGTTACTGCACCATGGCTGGCTTCATACTAGTGATCTTTTTTAACCTCAGTCAATGACTCTTTTCTACAATGAACATTTTTGTTGTTGCTGCTGTTGAAGTAAAATCTAGAGATACAAAAATTGTATAAAACTTTAAGACTAAATTTTAAAAGGGAGCACACATATTCTATACTATTCTCTTGAAAACCTCCGTATTAACTGTTGACATTAATTACCCTTCACTTAACTATTCACCTACCTTGAAATATCACAAATCTGTTTGTGGAATTTGTATAACAGTACAATACAGTATTTTACATTTGTACCCAATTCCTTTTTATCATTCTATTTGGGTTATTCATCTATGTTGTGTGTTGTATGATGTAGTAGTATAGTGACTTTTTGGACTTTTACATTGCTTCTCATTTTTGCATGTTAGCAATATATTTTGATACAGAAATTTGCATATATTTATCAGGTATATAACTATATATATATAATTCCTTAAAGAAATATATTAGACATACATTTATAAAATCTTCAATACTATTATCAAAAGATTTTATCAATTTGTAATCTCTCCAGAATTATGTCAGAGTTCCAGTTGTTCCATGTCTCTGCCACCGGTGAAATTGCTAAATTGTTTTTTGCTATTACTCTTATGGGTAAAATGAATTAGGTTTGACATCCACGTCAGATTTCTTTGCCCTTGGTTCACAAACTATTTGTAAGCTGCATAGTCACCAAGTAAAATATTAGTATACCAGACTAATCTAGAACTATTGCTAACATACACAATCATAAGAACCAAAGTAGTAAGTTGAATTATTAAATGTATTAAAGTAGTAAGTTGAATGTATTAAAAACAAGGTAGATGATAGATTGCAAGGTAAAATTGGCATAAATGTGGAACAGCATGTTTGCATTTGAAGTTGTCACTAGGAGAGAACAGACCTGCTAGAGACTATAGGACCAGCATCTAGATTCTTGACATACAGAAATATGGTCCAGGTGTTACGATCTTTTTATTTTTCAAGGAAAAAAAAAAAAAAAACCCAGAGTTCTGGTGTTGTTTCGTTAGGATTGACAGGAATTAATTCAGTATTTTTAAATGTTGTTGGTTAATCCTAGCACAATGAAAAGTCATTGTTCACATCAGTCATGCATGCTGCAAATTTCAGTTTTTTTTAAATGATATACACATGCTTTTGGAAGGGGACACATGTTCCTTATTCATTGCTAAATTGTATTACAAAATTAATTCCTATCCACAGTAGATGATCTTCAAAATATACACCAACGTATTTTCCTGAGATAGTTATTTATGTTTTTTTTCCTTCTCTTCTACTGTTCTATTGAAAATTTATTTTTTAAAATCTTTGTTGTTTAACTTGCTTAATATGTTAAAACAATTTAAAAGGAAAATATACAAAAATAACATTGTATAATTATTTAATACTGTTTTCATACATAGGTCTAAGGAAAAATCTTTCTGTAATAGCAGATTTGACAAAAATCAGTATTATCCACAGTGGAAATCTACTTTAACAGATTATTTAAAAAAGGACAAATCTAGAATTAGCATTGAATACTTTAAAATGTAAACATTCTTGGGAGATGACACAATTCACCCAAGTTCTTAACACTGAAAATTATTATCAATTGATTTTATAAAACTAATTTTAATGAATAAAATAATATCAACTACCAGAAAACCATGAGTGGAATAAGAAAAAAAACATACTAACAATAATGTTGTAAGTTTCCGTACTGCTAAAGTTAAAACACAGTTCAATTTTAACGGCCTATTCATAAATTTTGAAGTCATCCAACGTAAAGGAAAATACATATCTGAAATGTTTAACATACTTGTCATTAGAAAAAATTTACTTCTACTTCCTCAAATAGTATCACATAACCTAACTTTATTTTATGTAAAACAATTATGAAAAAATTGTTTTAATATGTTTAACTAAATACTTGTCATTATTACTTTGGTAGAAATCTTTTGAAAGTCCTTTGAAAGTCCTCGACTGTCTTACTTTAATCTGAAATGTCCTAAGAATTTTGTTCAAATGCAATTTCTCTTTTTGAACAATAGGAGTTATCCATGGAATCTGGAATTGATCCTGGCCAGGAATATGGACAAGATTATTACAGTTATGATCATGGGTACATCTTTGAACTTTTTATGAGAATCTCATTACAGTATTTAACAAACATTAGAGAGATGTTAATTTTTATAATAGAATAAAAATAGTTTTATATTTGAAAATGAGTAAAATGTATTTCTTTGTTTTCAATTGTTTTAACCATGTTTCTTTATCATCATTGATTGTAATTCTAGAAACTCTATGATAAATCTAATCAAAATAATTTAATTGGGAATTAGAAGTCAAGCATATTTGCTCAATTCCTAAATTCACCATTTCTGTCATTTGTCTTCTTTCTATGCCTGAATTTTTTCCCAAGAGCTATTAAGAAATAGAAAACATAGTTCAGAATCCAGGGTATTTCAAAAGTTACTTCTATACTTGTAAGTTAACTGCTTTTGAAAAATACAGTGGAGGAATGGAAATATTAAAGACCATGTTTGAAGCTATCAATATAGATTTTATATTCTGAACAGCCCATCATACTTTTTTTTCCCAGTATCAGGGATCAAACCCTATCGTACTTTTAGAAGGGACATATTTCGTCACCTGTTTCTCCAGTTAAACAAGGAATATTATCCCTTTTTATTTTTCCTCATTACAATTTCTTTAAAAACTTATGTTTCGAATAATTCTACCATCTTTCTTGTTATTCCAAGGTAATATTATGTCAAAAACTTTGGTCATCAGGTCATCTTCTTATTGGAGAGTTTTGTAACTAATTCCCTAGGAGCATAGTAAGTGGTGCCTAAATATCTGTTATCCACGTGGTGAAGAAGAGAAGAAAACAGAGCTCATTTGTGGTTGGTATCACACAGATCATATGAAAAAATATTGAAAGTTGTAAGTTTATATTACAGGTATGAGATGCCTCAATATGGAAGTCGCCGTCGACTGTTACCACCAGCTGGACAAGAGGAATATGGTGAGGTGGTTGGTGAAGCTGAGGAGGAATATGAGGAGGAAGAGGTAATTATTATAATTTTATTATGTGAAGCATTATGATAAGGACAATACTTCAGTGCTATTTGATTATAGGTTATAGATTATTTTGATTTTGTGAAATCTTATTAGTTAGTACTTGTTTCCCATAATTCTACACATTCCATTGCCTTTTCTAGGGAGGAAAATTGTTAATAGTTTAATGCATTCACTTTTATGAATTTCTAAGCATCTGATACAATCCAGAGTAAAATTTATTCAACCAAGTATGGTGTCACATGCTTGTAATCCCAGCAGTTGGAGGCTCAGCCTATAGAACTGCTGTGGGTTAGAGGCTAGCCTGAGGTACAGAGTAAACTCAAGAAGACGAACCTGTACTATATATTGGAATCCTCTCTCAAATAACACAAAAGTTAAGGCAAGAAATCCTTCATTTAATAAAATCTTAAATGTTGCTTCATAAGAATAGGATTATAATCAAATATTTTTAAAATTATAAGATATAGTGCTTATATTGTTTCTCATAATCTAGCCTATCTAAAAATCATGGAAAACTAATCTCCATTTTCCAATCATGCAAGAAAAATAATGTATTTTTCACTTACATTTTTGAACACACTATTTTTAATTTAACATGATTATTTTCTTTCAAATTATCATACTTTGACTCTCATATTTATTGGGAAAATTTCTTTTGCTCCCAAAAAGTACACAGACATTCACAAAACAAATTAAGAGCACTGTAACTCTAACCCACTGATAATTCAAGAAAGCAAAGAAATTTCCTGTAAGCTTTCAGATAAACTAACACATTTTCATGTTTTAAAAAATACTATATTTATTTAAAGGAACTACATAAAGCTATTAACAAAAATCAAGGGACAGAAAAGGAAAGCAACGGTGATTAATTACCTCCTGGTATAATTTCAAAAGATATTTTTAATAAGAAAAAGAGCAATAACAAGATTGTAATACTATGAAGTATAGTCAAACTAAAATTCTTGTTTCTTTTAGCTCACTCCCTATATACAGTAGATAACTTTATGATCATTTTCTGATACCAGTTATGTAACTTGCACGGTGCCATCACCCTGCAGGTTCATTCTTGCTTATGTGGTACAAGTTCAAATCATAACTATCCCCAAGCTGACGCTACAATTGCATTTTCACAATTTCAGGAAACGCCAAAGAGAATTAAACCAAAAGTTGAAATTAGAGAGCCTAGTGAGGAGGAGGAAGTAGTTGTAACTATTGAGAAACCACCAGCAGTGGAACCTCCATACACAGCCTGGAAGAAAGCTAGGATATTCCCAATGATCTTTAAGAAAGTTAGAGGATTAGCTGAGAGAAGAGCCATTACTGACCTGGAAGGTGAAGAATGGCAAAGACGCCTTGAAGAAGAAGATAAAGATTATTTGAAATTAACTCTAGATCAAGAGGAAGCCACAGAAAGCACTGTGGAATCAGAGGAAGAATCCTCAAGTGACTATACTGAATACAGTGAAGAAGAATCTGAGTTCAGTGAGTCTGCAACCACAGAGGAGGAATCTGAGTCAGAGACTCCCTCTGAGGAAGAGGAGAGTTCCACCCCTGAATCAGAAGAATCTGAATCCACAGAGTCAGAAGGAGAAAAAGCGAGGAAAAATATTGTGCTAGCAAGAAGGCGGCCTGTTGTCGAGGGGCTCCAGGACATCAAAGGCAAAGGAGAGAAGCCACCTGAAGAGCCAGAAGAAGAGCCTGCAGCAGAAGAAATGGCAGAAGAACACATAGAAGAAGGAGAGGAGAGTGAGCTGGCTGCCACAGAAGAATCCATAGAGGAAGCTCAAGATGTCCTTGAGGAGGGCAGTGCAGAATCACCTTCAGGGGAAAGAAGCATAGAAAGTGAAGAGGAATCTGATGTAGGCAGTAGTAGCAGCAGTAGTGAAAGTCAGACTGGAGGTCCCTGGGGTTTTCAGGTGCCAGACTATGACAGAGGCAAGAATGCAAACCAAAAGAAGTCACCCGGAGTGAACGCTGAAGGTTACAACACAGCATTTTAAAAGAGGGCACAGTAGGTGGGAGCTTTGCGTGATGAGTACTCTTGTGTGCAGTGCCTTCTGTGTGTTCTCTCTTGAAATGACTCTTGAAGGAGAGGATTTTGATGGGATTTAAAAACAACACTGCATAAATGTGAATATGCTTCCCTGGTAAATTGGCATATTGGAATATGTTAGATCAAACTGACTAATCTTTATAATTATAAAAAAGAACATATGTAACCAGCTAGGCACCACTTAGTTTTCCAGCATGTGATATTTTATCTCATCAGTGAAGCTTTTCTATTGGAATGGATGGTGCTACACACACATATGTGCACATACACACATATGTAAAATGTTATATAATATTTTATCTTCACAAAATAAATGTAGCAAACTGCAACCAATTAGATTACTAATCTGCTTGTGCATATGCACAAATTCCACTTGACAAAGATTTGTTTATAATCTGCCACTTTCAAATATTAGATGCTAAATGAAACACTTTTAATAATTAAAAGTTTCAACTATTATTTTCTGATATGAATGTGACTTAAATTGATTTTTAAAAAAATAACAGTTATAACACTCTTTTAAGGTTACAATAACACAATTATTTTGGACTAGGTGTCTGGAAATCAGACAGTATGGCCTACTCAGTGCAAACTATTGATAGTGTACATACTCCACACTACGTGAAGAAAGGCTTATTATTCTTTTTACTTTGCTCTTTGATATTCTTGTCAGTTGGGAAAAGAAGCCAGAACTGATGAAATGTTCATTGTATTCCATTTGCTTACAAATTCAATGTTGAAAATAACTAGCTTTCAGTTTTGTGTACTGCTCAATAAATTATGCAGGCGGGGAAGATATTTCGTTCTAAGTAATCAGAATTCTGAATGAGATGATTCAGAAAAATAAGATACTTCCAGTAAATAACTACATTAAATACACAAAAATATTAGCTAACTGTAGTGAATGAATTTGAAACCATAATGCTGTGGGTTTAAAAATATCTTTAAAATATTTTGAATAGAAGCATTAATATGAACAGAATATACTAATGCTGTTCTTTGCCTCAAACATAATTTTCCTGAGTAGTATAACAACTATAAAACAGAATCAGATTCTTAGTTGAATTTAAGTGATACACTTTTCATGTAAGCGATAATTAGATCTAAAACAAAATAAGGTTTCCTGGAAAGTCTACTTCCTAACTCAGCAAGACTTTATTCATACATATTAAGTTTTGAAGCCAAAAAGAAACAGATATGAATAAAGAGTTGCTCCCACCTGTCACTCAGTTCTTATCTACCTTTGATAGTTTCTAAATATCATTGCTGTGCATTTCAGAGGCTTTGTAACCTTTGTATATTTTATTTCTTTGATAATAATTATTTTTCTTTTTTGGCAGTGGGCAAGAAAAAGAATGATCAAGTTAGTGGTTGAGCCAGAGTATGAAACCAGCTCCACCGGAGAAGACAGCGCTCCTGAGTGCCAGAGACACCGTCTTCCCAACCCGAGTATCCACAGTAACATCAATGGCAATATATACATCGCCCAGAACGGCTCTGTGGTGCGAACCCGCCGCACCTGCTTCACTGATAACTTGAAAGTTACTTCTCCTGTCCGACTGGGGAGGCACTTTAAGAAATTAGACAAGTTGGCAGTGACACATGAGGAGAATGTTCCTTTAAACACGTTATCAAAGGGCCCCTTTTCTACTGAGAAAATGAGAAAACGTCCCACTCTGGTCACTTTTGCACCTTGTCCAGTGGTAACAGAGAGTACAGCAGTGAAGTCAGTGGAAAGCAGGCTGAAAAGCCCAGCTGAACAGGAGTCCACAGTGGAGAGTAAGAACATGAGGGAGACTTTGGAATTCCACAGTGACCACACACAGTCAGACGAGGAAGAGCTCTGGATGGGTCCTTGGAACAACCTCCATATACCAATGACCAAACTGTGACCAATTTTTTAGAAGTTGTTTTGATTTTTACTTCAGTTTTTAATGAACTGTGCTTTTTATTGTCACCGAGAAAACAGTATATGGAATTTATATCATTCACAGTAAAGATAAAACTTTGAACTATATGCTTTAAAATTTTAAAAAAGAGAAATTTGCACTCACACTTGTATCAATTATTTTTTTTTTCCAGAAAATCTTTTTGGACAGACTCAGTTCACTAAACAACATATCATTAAAAAAATTGGCTGTGTTTTTGGTTGACAATTATTTTTCATTGAAATAAATAAGAAATAATTTACTAAGTAATCATTTATATTTTGTGGTTAATTCATTTGTAACTTCATAGCACATTTTTCTGTACTTGTACTTTTACTTTTCATAAACAAATGGGGAAAATATCAGAGAAATTTTAGGTCGCCTTTTTATACAATTGTTGTCTGTATTGTCCTTAGTTTTTAAAGGAAAGATAGCCTTGCAATAGTCAAAGTGGGAATTATCTGTAAATTATTTTGAATCATATGCTGACATTTTCATTATTTACTATAAAATTTTACAGATGTTTACATATACATGTTATACATATGTATGTTAATATACAATATGTATATATGTGTATGTTTATCTTTGAAAAAACACCACTAAAGGTCATATACCTTTTATAAATATAATTTACAATTTCATTGGGTGACCCCATACCTCTGTAAGTATTCTATATATGTCAACTATAAATGATTTAGTTTAGCCACTTGAAATTAAATAATTAGTTGAAGCAACACAGAAATTTCAACTGCAACAGAAGCTTACTAAAAAGTGGCAAAGGGTAAAATAGGCAACGATGCATCTAGAGCCACAGTTTCAGTGTGGAAAACATGATGTCAGGGTTTTACATTAATGCCACTGGACATGAATATTTTATCAATCTAGCATAAAGGAATTTGGCAGGGTCAAAAATTTATATAATAAATGCCATGCCTCTAAAGGCTATAACTCCATAATTTTGAATGAATTATTTAGCTTTTCTCAATTCTTATTGATTTATAGACTACTATGATGCATATATTTATGTGCCTGTAGTCTAGAGCCAGAAAATGATTGCCTATTTTTTTAATCAAAGAACACAGTCTTCATTTTTAATTGAGGAACAAGCACAGTGTTTGACCATTAATGGAAACTTATCCTTTTGAAAACAAACAAGCCTTTTTTTCTGCGTGTGTTATATACCCTCCAGATGTAGGAAGAATGAAACAATATAGTTTAAGAGAATTCAGAATTCTACTGAATATGACTTAGTATGATATAGATATAGCTCATCTAAAACTTTTCACTGTATTGACCAAGTTCAGATTTGAATTAAATTTACTCATGCATGCTTATTATATTGTTGCAGGACTGAATAGTGCATTATTATTTATTACCCTTACATTCTTTACATTTAAAAAAATTATTTTAATACTGTTTCCTTATTTCTGAACTGAATGAAGTGCATTAACATAAACTTGCCAACTTATAGGGATAGTACATTTTTATTTCATATTTCTAAAAGTATTCAAGATAAAATAGAGTTACATCTTACTTATGTATTTAACTGGGAATTAACTCATTCTTAAACCCTTGCTATGAAAAGCATCAGCACTAATAGGAGCTTGTTAGAAATACAGTATCATGTCCACACCCATCAGGGCTACTACACAGGAATCCATATTTTCATAAGCTCTAAGGTGGTTTTTATGATATGAAATTTTGGAAATATAAATGATCTATAGTTTTGAATTCCAGGGCTTACTATTTCAAGCACCAAAGCAATTGTTTTTAGTACAAAATATTTTATATAGTTATTAGAGTAGACATATTTCTCTATTAGCCTAGTTAGATATCAGTGAATATAAAATCATTTTCACCATGTGTCAAAGTCATCTAAGCTAACACCCCATGACATTCTCTCTCCATACAATCATACAGCTTTATCTAAAGTTTTCTTCCTTCAATCGCTGACTGTAAAATTTATGATTTTGTTGTTTTGTGTATCTCAAAATTTTTCTTCAATTTTTCACTTACAATGTCTTAGTTTGAAAACTTATATTGTTAAGTTTGTTTTGCTTGTTGTTAGTAAAAATTAAGCGTAAAATAGAGGTAAGGTATGTGGATTCGGACAAAAATTCTGCGTGATTCTTAGAAACATGCTTTGGTCACTATATGGACCTGAGCACCACCTGGAAACCTGATGTTGGCAAAAGAATCATGTTCTGAAATAGGAAATGGTATTGCGTTTTCTAGTACATTTTTACAAAGGAAACATACAAACATGATAAGCCACAAAGTGTGCATATTTCAGCACGTGCAGTTTGACTATTTCAGTAAAAATGACCATCAAACAAAAATGTCATTTTGTGGAGGTAGTATAAAGATAAGCATTATTTATACAGAGCAGCCAAATGAAATATTTGGTTAAAATATTTTGACAAAAGGATAAATAGCAGCAGTAAGAACAGATTAACTGAATATAATGATTTAGATAGGACTTAGATTATTCTACAAATTTCTGACTCAGGATTAAAATTGTAGGTCATGGGTAAAATATTCAAATATGTCTAATTTAAAGACTGTTTCATACAAATGAATTTTATAAAGAAATTTGTGATTTTTTTTTTCTTAGTAGGGCATAAGAACTTTTGCTGTTCTTAATCTGCCCTAGCTTTCAATAAAACAGGAGTAATAGTAGATCACAGCTAAAATGAGAATAAAGTGATGTAAGAGTAACATTTTTAAAGACTGATTTCAGGATGTTTTGTGGCTTTAAGGAAAAGATGAGGAATAAAGGGAAAATATGGTCAAAATGATACAATTGTGATTCAGTAACCATCAAGTCACAGATACCAATCTGTGTCTCTATATTTGACTCATTTATTTAATTAAAGAGTCCAAGAATTTTCATGAAGTTACAGTTCAAGGCATCTTGTTAAAAACACGTGGAAAGTTTGCTTTAAATTTTATATGTGATATCTTATTCTTTTTACTAGAACACATTGTTAACAACAATGTTAAGCACATGTTATTTCCCCCTAAATTGTTCTTCCAAATGATAATGGTAGCTATTATGAAAATATCAGTATCAATATTTACATGTCACGGAGCCAGGAATAATTGAATATTGGTTTTGAAGTAAGGCATTTTGTTTCATTTCGTGAGTCTTGCTTTCCTTGTTTCTCTTTGTTCACCATCTGCACTTTATAATGAATGGGAGTGAGACTTATACACCACTTCAGTTAACTAGTAAAGCAGGCAGAAAGTGCTAACAATCTATTCTCAGGACGGATGGCTATTGGTGCCTGCAGATAATACAGCAATGAGGCTGACAGGTTGGTTAAAATAATATTGAGGACCTCAAACTTTTATCTATAGATTTTCCCTTTTCTCAAATGATA